CATAGGGTTGTTGGAGTGTCCTCCCTTATGTGGCAGCGGGCGCTCTTCTCCTGAGACTGAGCCCAGAGAGAGGGTGAGTGAGATGGGGGTCACCATATTTCCCAGTCCTATCCTCAACTCCAACCCTTCCACTCCAGTCTCTCTGTCTGAAGTGAGTCCAGCTCCTCCGCCTAGAAGAACCAGGCTCTGCCTCTTGAAGGGAGATATATTTTAAAACTACTAAAAAGATTCTTTCATTTTTCTTTTTGAAAATCTTTTGGTGACTTTCTGTAAGATGGAATAAAACATAAATTCTTTCTTGCAAGGACAGCATTGCCGGGCTAGTTCCTGCCTACGGGTTTTGCCTTCGCCCTCTGGCGGCTGCACCGGCCTCTGTCCTTTACTCATTCCTTGAGGCAGCTGGCCCCTGGGTCCTCCCCAGCTCTTGCTACTCCCCAGATTGCTTTCTTTCCCTGATGTTTGCCAGCCTGGCTTCTTGCTGTCAGATCTCAGCTTAAACATCACTTTCTCACAGAAGATCAACCAATCTCAGGTAGCTGCACGGACTTTCCATCACATTGTGCTGTTTTATGTTTTGCATAGCATTTACATCCATATTTTTTTGTTGGCCTGTTTATGTGATTATTGTAGCTCCCCAGCTCGCCATAGAATATGAACTCTATGAGAACATGGACGTTTTTGTTCAGTGCTTTTATATCATTGTCTAGAATTATAGTTGGTGGACCATAGTATACAACAAATAGATTTTTATGATTATCATTATTCTGTACTGTAAACTGAATGGAGGTAGGATTTCATAAGTGTTATTTACTCTGTCGTCAGGACCCGAAATCTACTAGATGCTAAAAATTTATTAAAAAGCACTACTATAGATTACTTTGCTAATAATGACAGAGCCAAGACTCAAATTTAGGTTTCTCAATTCTTTTAAAAGCAGTGCTTGGCACATAGTAATTTCTAAAACTGTAAGATTGATTGTCTTCTTGATTCTCTCTTCTGGCCTTTGTTAATACGTCATATAAATTATTTAAAAATTAAATCCACACTGGGCGTGGTGGTGCCTACCTGTAATTCTAGCACTTGGAAGATTGGGGCAGGATCGCCATTAGTAGGAGGCCAGCCTGAGCTACACAGTGAGACTGTCTCAAAAAAAAAAAAAAAAAAAAAAAGTATATATTTACTAGTTGGGATATATGTTTTTATGTGACATTTTTGTTTGTTTGCTTTGAGACAGAGCCTTGCTATGCAGACCAGCCTGGCTTCAAACTTGTGATTCTCCTTCCTCGGCCTCCTCAGCTGGGATTACAGATGTGCGTCACCATACCTAGCAACATGCTTCCATAAATATTTTTATATGTCAGTGTAGTTCATGCATTAGTTTTCTAAGATATCTTGAAGACATTTTTGTTTCAATTTGTCATCCTTTGTATTTCAGGGATAAGAATCAAATGTTAAAACTCTTGGTATTTCATTTATTTTGAAGTTGGTACAAGAAAACTTAGAGCAATAGAAAACATAGATACAGTGGTCATTCTAAAGTATCTTGTTGGGGCTGGAGAGATGGCTCAGTGGTCTAAAGCACCTACTTGAAACAAGCTTGGCGGATTGCAAGGACAGCCAACATTTTGACCTTATCCTTTCAAGGTCAGTGAGGACTCAGGACATAAAAGAACCTATACTGCAACACTATATAACTCAGTGGTGTCCCAAATTTTCTGATCAAGGAGATTATGGGGCTACAGAAGAAAGCCATCAATAATGTAAAGTATGCTTAAAGTGAGTCGCATGGAAAGAAAACATTCTCTCAGGCTTTCACAGACAGCAAATTTGACAAGCAATGGCCGTGTCTCATCCACATGGCTGACACTGACAAAGGAACTACAAACTGTGGTACTGGGCATCAGGATAAATCCTGAGGGAATTTGACTGACATTGTCAGATACAAAAATTACATTTCTTGTTATATAGGTCTTGCTTCAACTTGGTGTTAACCATCCAGCAGAAAAGTGTAAACAGTTTATTTGAAGACAACACTATGCAATACAAGAAGCATTGTTAAATTCGTATTATTTCTTTTAGTGAAATTTTTATCACTTTTTTAATGCTTGTATTTTATTATTCAGTATTCTCTTTAAATAAATCAAAAGATAAAAATTAAAATTAAAAAATAAAATTAAACTTTCACCTCGGACAAAGTTGCATTGCTACTCAACTAAGGAAATTAATCATCCCATATGTGTATTTGCAGACATTGTGTGCTAACAGGTAAGAAAACAATCCAATCTCCTTGGATTTTGCATTTCTCAATCACAAACTCTCAAACTCTATTTATAGTTAATTGACATTGAATGACAAAGAAAAGGACAGAATTTGTAACCAGAATAATCAATCTTTGTCTAGATATGAAAGCTATTGGATTGTTTGATCATTAATTAGTTTTATTTATAAAGAACCTTACTATCTGTCTGAATATCAAACATCTTAGGCACAACATGGAGCAGGTACTTTTTATCAAGTGTACAAAAATTTCCGATCAAGGAGATTATAGGGTCAAAGAGGACAGTGTTTGATGATTCAGAGTGTGCCTAAGGAGAATCACATGGAGAGAAAACATTCTCTCAGGCCTTCACAGAGAACACAATGGCCAAGCAATGGCCATGACTCATCCACATGGCTCACACTGACAAAGATCTACAATCTGAGGTACAGGGTCTCAGAATAAATCCTGAGGGGATTGACTGTCCTTTTCAGATCCAAAAGCTACAATTCTTGTTACATAGGTCTTGCTTTGTCTTGGTCTTAAATATCCAGAAGAAAAGTATAAAAACAAAGTAACAGAAATAAAGCCATGTTGTTATGTTGAGCTGTAGGGCACTCACGTCAACAATTTCTGTCATTGCCAGTCAAGTGGAAGACCCAACACTATTATGGACTACTGG